CGGAGCCGGCTGGCACCCGGGCTTGGCGGGCCGGGCCGCTCCGTGTAGGTGCTGTGGGTTGTGCCCTGCTGCGCTTGAGGGCATGGCCCGGGGCGGGGGGGTGCTCGCGAAGGTCTGCACTTACAGGCTTGGCATACATGCATACGTATGTATGTACGTGTGCGTACAGGGACACAAAATACAGGCATACGTGTGTGTATATATGTATGTATTTTCTTTAATACAAAATCGTGAGTTTCAGTTAAATGTTTTGAGGCCTGTGTTTGAGGGGTCATTGGAAGCCCTGTCGGTACCTTTGGCCTTTTACAAAGCGTTTCAACCTGTGCTCTGTTGAAGGTCCCTTCCGTTTTCCATAGCTTCCTCTGGACTGTAGATTTTAAGTGAAATTAGCAGGTAAAAATCCATCTTTAAAAGGATTACCTTTTTTGTGCTTAATTTCCTGTGTTAGAAGGAGGTTATTATCTGTTCAAACTTCCCTTGTACTTACAAGGGATAAATTATAAAATGGTCGCTTACTGGATAACATACTGATCATCAGATGCATACACTGCTGCTCTGGAGTCACTGGGGCTCCATAAGTAACTCCATAAGCAGGATCTTTGTCACTAGAAGAGCTAGTTGAAAAACACTGGCCATGTTCAGTGCTAGCTATGGTTTTGATATCTCTTTCTGGCAGTTTAAAATTTAGAGTGGTCTGTTGGGATCCTGTCCCATGTCTGCAGTAGTACATTGGCTTGTGTCATGAGTGCCAGGCTTGCCACAGTAGGAATGGGACTAGACAAATGAACTAGACAAATTAGGAAGCTGTGAAATTAATTTTTTACGTATGTGGGCTTGTGATAGATTTATCTCGGTGTGTTAAAGTCCCCGATGTACAGTTAAGTATTCATTTTTGTTGTTAAAAGATCTGGGAGATCTTGAATGTTAAATCCTATGGCTTTTGTCTTCCCACTGATTGATGCAGTTGGGGGAAAGTCCTGCTGTGGTGGTTCCATGTAGACTGGTGGATCTTGCCCTTGTCTGTTCTGTGCATGGGCTAGCAAGGTGCTGGAGCCCCACAGGTATGGTACAGAGACAGCCAAGCTGATTCTGCAGAAGTAGAGTGAAGACTCTACTAGTGCCGGGAAAGTGTGACAGCCATAGTGGGAGAAAGTATAGTCACTCCCTTAAATCTTGATCTCAGTTAATACTCATGCTGCACCAGAGTGGATCCCGCAGTAAAGGCCTTGGTTAATCCACAAATCCAGGCAATCTGTCCATGGTTTATATAGAGTTTCCTGTGTTACGGTTTTTTTGGTTTGTTTTTTTTTTTTTTTTCCTTTTTCCCCTTTTTCTCCCCTGTACACCCATGCGTTTGAGCTGGCAAGTGTTGCTGATTGAACCCCATTTTACAAGTTAGGCTGCTGGTCAATGGCTGTCCACCTGGATCAAATTGCTGGCTGCCACTGTCCTGTCTCTATCCTTACCCACCCTTCCTGGTATGCTGTGCTTTCCTGTCCCCTTTCTTGCACTGCCTTCAATGCTTGCTGGGTCTTTGTATGCTAAGGTGTCAGAAAAATAACCCATTAAAAATGTAGCTAGTGAAAACATCTCAGTGAAGAGTCTGATATGTAAATGAGAGACACTGGGGTCTATGTAAACCAGTGGTTAGATAGACTGCAGCTCAATAGCAGCAGAAGTCATAAACTGTGATTTTGTGAGAATATATGAACACCTCCAGTTTAAATCAGTTAGCTGGACACCTACACGTTTTTGTGAATTTGGGACTAATGATTTGCATGGGTTTAGACAAGAGGTCTCCTGGAATAGGGAGTTCTTTAGTTCTGGGCAGTTCCCTCATCTGAGGGAAGATCTTGCTTCTCCTGTCTAATGTAATGCTATGCATGAGATCAATCGGTGAGCTGTGGTCTACATCCAGGTATGGGCTTGAAAGAGTCAGTAAAATTATTATAAGCATAGTAATTTTATTTGTGTCTGTATTAGCAACTGATTTGGTAAAATAGGAATAGAGAGTAAATAGTTCTGAGTAGATAGCGCTGAGGCCCATACATCTTCAAAGTAGTTAGGGTTTATTTCAGAGTTTGTAGCCTGAACTGAGTATGTTTGGTTGGAAGCTGCCTGAAGGACAAGTCATTGTTTCAAACTCTTGTGTTCTCTGTAGATATTGGAACACATTTTACAAGTACCTGGAATGAAACTCTGGGTTTAACTTGACAGGGAAATAACTTGGTTTGTGTTTGCCAAAACTGCTGCAAAGTGACCCAGCACCCAATAAGCTGGACCAGGCATAGGACTGGCTTCAAAGCTGTGCTGTACTGAAACTTAAAGGTGTGCACCACTTTTATATACAGCTGAGCTGTTGTATGTGGAGGGTTTATTGATAGAATTACAGATCTGCTACTAAGGAAGGCTGATTAGTCTTTCCTTACTCCTGTTCTCTCAAAGTGATTACGTTGAAAAACAAGGCCAGAAGAATGTGCCTAAACTGTCTTGGGTTGATTTGATGAAACCTAAATTAAGCAGCATCCGTGTGTGCTGGTGGTTGTTCTGGAAAGAAGGTTAACTTGAGTGGAGGTACCAGGGTAAACAGTTGAAGGTAATCATGTTTTAAACTGAAAAAGTGTATCTGATGTCCTTATTGCACAGCAGCCTGCTCTGTTCCTTTCAGATGTGACTTACCAAAGCATGCTTCAGTTCTTTTAGTATCAGAAATGTACATGGGCTAAAAAGGGAACACTGTATTTTGGATAAGAAATTAATGGAGAAGGTTTTTCAAGAAGTTCTGATGCATGAAGTTTGCTACATCTTTCAGGGGAAGCAGAGAGAGTGTAAAGGAGGAATATACAATCTTACTGGGCAGCTGGTGGGTGAAACAGTGAAGACTCCTTGATGCGGCCCTGGAGCAACAATAACTACTACTTACTTAGCCCATCATATCCTTCCAGTTTGTATTGTAGCTAGATGCTGTGGGGGAATGCCCTTTCTTCATCTCATATTCTAGTTAATCTGTCTGAAAAAGTGTCATTTTCTGTGTGAAAAAGGGAGCTTAGTGTAATGGATGTAAATTTAACTCTTTCTCTCCTCCAACTCTCTGGCTTTGGTGAAGAAAGAATTGTCCCTATTAGTATTCAGCTTTGAAGCTTGCTCTTTTTCAAAACTTGTCTTTACTCCCATTTGTAGTTGTGCTAATCGATAGTTTTAAAGAAAACTGAAGTTTACATGTCCTCAAAGACGCTTTGGTTGATTTTTACTGAGGTAAAAAAATTCTGTTGGTTTTGTTTCTTCTGGGATTAGGGGGCAGGAAGGAGGAATTGTCTTTTAAGTGAATGTAGTGTGTGAATGTTTCTTTAAAACAATACAAGAAGCTCTCTGGATAATTTCTGTTGCATTCCACAGAGAAATGCTTTTAAAGGAGCACTTAAAAAGCGATGATTACAGGAAATTACATGCTTGTCTCAGTGTCTTGACAAATACAAACGTTCTCTGTGGAAGTATATTGCTCCTACAGACATGAGATGATTAGCACTGCAAGAAATGTCTTAATTAAAATTAGTACTAATAAGAAAAAAATATTTTGAAGGAAAGGATTTTTTTTGTTAAATTAGTCATTTGCTTTACTTGCATCGAGCCTTTTTTTTTTTTTTTTCCCAGTAGATGCCTGAGAATACAGAAGGTGGGGTTAGAAGAAGTATAACTTGTCCTTGAGAGCTGATGCTGTTTCTATCCCATTCCTTTTGATACTATATATTTAGTATAGGGTATTTTATTGACCAGAATGTAGAACAGCATATTAGGGATGAATAAACCCCCCACAAGTTATGCTCATCATCCCAGAAGATAATTTGGCCATTTTTTAGAGCACTTTATATAGGCCACAGCTTATTAAAAAAAGCTATTTTAGGTGCTATTAAATTTTAAGTATTATGGGGTTTTTGTCTTTAAACCAGGCTGCCCTAGTTACTGAGTTGGACTGCTTGAATGTAGTAGGAAATGAATGACTGTGATTTTGAAAGTGTTTAAAAATATAGTAAATACTTTGTGCGGTATGAAACTTTATGGGAAATCTGAAGTGTTGTGACAGGATGGGCCAATTACCAAGTGTTTTAATATTAAATGAAGAATCTTCTGCCTCCAGTGATGTACATTTTCAACTGGAAATCCATGACAATAGATCCTAAAACCTCTTTTTCAGTACTGCATATTCCCCCATCCATATGTTGTTTAAGGCTATGGGGAAGAAGTTCTATAACTGAGGAATTAAAGATTAAAGGACTCTGAAAATCTTCACTTTATGAATCTTACTGGAGGCAGAATAAAGGTGAAACAATTGAAGAGTGACTTAGCATGTGAATTGCTATTCAGTATGAATGATAGGTAGAATGTAGACTTCTGGGCAGAAAGTCAAAGACTTTTCAGTATATACATAGCTGAGGGGAGATTGGAGAGTGCTGTGTATTTCAGTATCTACAAGAGTCAGCTGTACCCTCAGATACTAATGCATTATAATTTCCTTGCAACACAAGTTTAAATGTAAGATGCAGTCCCCTTGCCCTCTAACAGTGGGTATTGCACTGATCCCCAGCCAGAGTTACAGTTCAGATCTTCTGTTTTCTTTGATTTGTAGTCCCTAAACATACATAAACAATAGAATCCATGTTAATTTAAAGAATTTAGAGAATCTCTTAAAGAATTAGAGAACTGTCAATGTTAGGTTAATGGTTGGACTAGATGGTCTTCAAGGTCTTTTCCAACCTTGATGATTCTGTAATTCTGTGAAAAGCTACTGAGTGAATTCATTACTAAAACATACTTACCAAAAGCATAGCTGAACACATCTGAAATATGTATTTGAGTGTGAGAATAAAGTGGGAGAACTGTCAGTATCCTAGTGCTTGTTCCTGTCTGGCTTCATGGGGAGTTGCCTTCTAATTTAACATAAGCTTTATTTTTATATTACATAAATACTTTAGACAACTTTTCAAGTAGTATGATTGTCCCATTCCTTAAATCTGGCCAAGTTGAAAGCTGCCCAGTCAGTTTTGGCTTGAGTATTACATTGGACAGCCAAATAAAACTTTGCTCTTTAAACTGATTTTCAGCCTTATTTGGGGATTCAAGATCTGCCTTACTTTTGAGAACACTTTTAAAATAAAATATTGGCTCTTAAGAGCCTGATACTCTTTCGCGCCCCCCCCCGTGTGCTAAGCATTCAATGTATATTTTGAAGTTCTCTCTTTAAATTTTTTTGCTCTGCTTTCAAATACTTCAGTTTATATCATGTTTTAAAACTTTTTACATGCTGTCTTTTTTGCTTGTACTAATTGTAATGTGATAAACTGCAATAGGTCTTTGATTTGGACTTGCAGGTACTGTTGTAATACAGATTAATATTGCTCCACCTGCCTGTTAGTTTTCATATACAGGCAGAGCGAGCTAATGTAGTTTTTAGTCTTAAAAGCTTGTGATGATTTCAGGAAGGAAGTATGTGCAGAAAATTTCATACACTGAAAGGTCTGAGTGGAAGATCTGAGTTAATCAGATCCTCCGAAGTAGCTATGCTGGCGCTGAAACTACTCCTTTCAGCTCAACGGCTTTGCAAATTGCCGTAGTCTTTTACAAAACAATAAGGATGAACACTTTTCATGATGCTTTCTGTAGTTGGTATAGGAGACACCATAAAGGACTTAAACCTGTCAGTTGGAAAAATGTGAGGAAGAAGCAAAAGGCTCAGAGTTGTTTATAGTCTAGAAGAATGAGTCTTGGCTGTGTCTGCTTGGTTCAGGATCGTGCTTTGCCTTTCTGTCAGGAGTTAGGATTTTTGTCAGGGTAACTGCTTAGATGGATGTGGCCTCCATAGAACAAGCCCCTTCTCTCATACACCTGTCCTGTTTGCAGGAGTTCAGACCGAGTTCCTTGACTGCATGGTCATCCCAGCTGCATGTCTTCTACTGCTTGATAAATTGGTCAGTTTTACCATAACTGTAAAGAGCAAATTCCTGGAGATACTGCTGCTATAAAGCAGTTTCAGGACATCTCTAACTTTGGAATATTACTTAACAACCCCCCCTTTTTTTTTTTTTTCTTCTGGTAAAGATGGGAAAAAGTCAAGAATTTTGTAGCTTAGTTTCTGTTTCCTAATCTAAGAAAAGGCAGTGGAGGTTAACAACTGAATTAGTAACATCAGATGTCTCTATGGCAAGTGGCAATTTTTTTGGCCAAAAAGTGGGTATTTATTATACTTTACAGTTAAGTTCACTAGGTAAATAAGGAAAAAAATCAGGAATATAAATTAAAACAAAAACTGTGGAGTTTAATGTTAATTACTCTTGCTGCATAAAAGCATATAAAATCAAGTTTCTGTAGAATTCTAGACTTTGCAGGTTAGGAAGTGTTTCATTAGAAATGAAATAATTTTAAATGATCATTAAGATGAACTACAGATATTTTTACATTAATATTTCAACTTCAAAGTTCTCTCCCAATTGAACAGGATGAAACCTGTTTTCAAAACTCTGTTACGTTTTAAGAAAATTTGATATTAATAAAACAGAACCTTGAATTTTATATGACAAATGTAATGTAACATTGAATTATGCTTGCTTTCCAGGTGTTGCTTTTGCTCATACTAACTCAGGATACACTTGAATTTTCAGTGGTGGCTAATAACCCTTCATGCTTAAGGGTGCCTTTCATCTGGTGTGATATACAATGTTCAGTTTTCTTGTTTCATGCATTCTTAGGTACATTTTGTATTATCAGTCATGAAGTTTAATCTCTTAAATGTGATGTTTCCTGTTTTGAAGAAGAGAAATTGCTGTTTATGGGGTTTCTTCTGGAGTTCAATCAAAGTTTCTTACTTTGTAGTTTATATAGAAAGTGATTTCTCATATTCTGCTATAATAATAATAATATAATGGATAATCTATTCATGGCTGAAATTCAGGGTTGCTTCAGATTCACTAGAAACAAAATATCAATTTTATTTGTTTATACATTACATTGTTCAAAATAAATTACCTTTTTTATTTTTAGAAATGGATGATGAAGACTGTGAAAGAAGAAGAATGGAGTGTTTAGATGAAATGTCCAATCTTGAAAAACAATTTACAGACCTTAAAGATCAGTAAGTATTTTAATATTTTAAGTGCCCCATTTAAGGGTCCATTCCATGAGAACATTGTGTGGGGCTGGTGTTTCTTGTCATTCATATATGTGGATGCTAATTTTGGAGAAGAATAAGGTTTGGGAGTTCTGAAATTATTTTCAGGTAGTTGTTCCAAAATACTTTTATGTATTTATTTTCTGTTTTGCTGTAAGAATGGTTTTGAAGTGTTATTTCTGTGAAGGGCTGGTGTGGTCTATTATATCAAAATCCTTAGCAGAACCAAAGAACTGTGATTTTAGGGAAACTCATAATTTATTTACTCAAGATCTTTCTCATCCTTATATATATATATGTGGGACAGACCCAAGCACTGTATTTGCTAAGTAAATAATTAGGGGTTTTTTTCAGGGTATCACAGCAGCTTTTATAGTTGTTACAAATGAAAATGCAAAATACATTCAAAATGCAAACAGATTTGTTCATTATCTGCCAGTAAATATCAGCTTTTATAGAAGGAATGAATTTTAGTTAAAGTAAAAATATTTTAAATACACTTCGTTTTGGCAGGAATGGAAGATGTCAGTTACAAATTATCCTGTGATATATGTGATAGTACGCAATATGTGGATTTCCACAGGAGATGAAATGAGGGTTGCTTCAGTAAGAGCCTGCCTCTCTTTTTCTTTGGTTTATGGTAGGGTGGGAGCAGATAGGTGAAAGAAAATGGGCGTTTCTATCCACAAAACGTCTTTCTCTCCCATGATATAAGCCATATTGTTCTTATGTGTTGTAGCACCCTTTCCTGCCCTTTTCCATGTTGATTCACCTCTTACTCCATCTTAATCCCATTAACAGCTGTGCAATTTTTTTTTCTTCTTCCTAAGAGATAGAGATACATTTAATTTTATTTTTACTTTTTATACTTCTGATTGTCTGCATGTGTGTTCCAGAAAGGCTTAATAGGCTTGAGGAATATTGTTCAAAAAGAAAATGTGTATGGTAACAAATCTTAACTTTGCTTCAGTGGATGTTCCATAACATTAACAAAGAGATGCAGAATAGTTCTTTTTAAAATATTTCTTCTGAGTTGTGTTTGTTTTTAAATAAAATAAATCTTTTTAAATTTCTATTATTCTAAGACTTTACAAAGAAAGATTAAGCCAGGTGGATGCAAAACTTCAAGAAGTCATAGCTGGAAAAGCACCTGAATATTTAGAACCGTTGGCAGCTTTACAAGAAAATATGCAAATCCGAACCAAGGTGGCAGGTAGGCATTTAAAATGAGTATTGTTTCAACAGTATAAACTTGCTAGGCATTTTAAGGTCAATCTTTTTCCTTTAGAACTGTTAAAGGAGTGTGTTTTAAAGTTAGAAATACTGTGGCATAGTTTTAAATGTAGAATGATTTTCAAGTCAAAATGAATAGGTTGCTTACATCTTTGCACAAGTTGCCTGATAACATCATGCTAAAATTACAGCTTTTTTATATTTCATTTAATGGCTGTCTGTCTTTGTGTAGTAAGCACAAAATTACTGAATTAAAAACGCTAATAATGTTTATTAGTCAGAAGGTTTGGGATCAAGTGCACCCTGGTCACTGTTGAAATGATGAGGTATGTAGTTGCTATCTCATGAAGTGCTTGACAGATCATTTTAGATGATCATGTTTTTCCTGCTCTTCTAGTCTGTGTTTCTTCTGCTCCATCTCGAGAAGGAGGAAAATTCTTGTCCTTAGTAGCTTTTATCTAAGCTGCATTTTAATTATTAAAACTAGTATTTAGATAGGTGTTATGCTCATAGAAGAAGCAGGAAAGAATTCTTCTTCCAGGATACAACCATATAGTCATATGGAACAGTGGTATTACAGGAGGATGAAGTTCTGTACTTCTCTACTGTAAATTCTTTTTCATGTTATAGCTCAACTCCCTTAGGAATAATTCAGCTGTCTTAAGTGTCACCTAACACAGGCTGTCAGAGAGCCAAAAGGCAGACAGTTGTGAACTCTCCAGCCAGAGATGCTATGCCAGTGTCTTTCCTAAGAAATTAATCAGAAGCATGGTGCAGGGAAACTGGAAAATGGAAAGCCCACTTCTCATTATACTAATGCTACTTCAGTGCTACTCAGTATGCCTTCATTGGTACTTTTAACTGTAGGCTATGAAGAGTATATGAAAACTTTTGGCCAATGCTTTTGTATTTCTATCCCTCCTGGTCTTTTCCATAATGCTTTTTTTCCTCAGGTGGTGACCCAGAATTTCTGGGTTTTAAGATCTTCACCCAAATTGACTTGACTAATCCTAAGTAGCCCACTTGGGCCTCACAGAAGATTTGCAGGTGAACTTGCAGAATTCTGATATAAAAGAAGCCTTAATTTAGGCTTTTGATTTTCAGTTTTAAATGTGGCTGGCTGTCGGTGCTTTCATCTAGGTGGGTATGGATTGGCAGAATATTACAGATTCTTCTGATTTGTCTTCAGCAGCACTGAAGATCTGTGTTCCAAAGTAAAAAGAGCCCAGGGCAAAAGCTGCCCTTTCCTTGAAGGTTCAAGGTTTCCTTGAAGTCAAGACTAGAAATCAGGATTTTTTTTTTTTTTCCTTTTGTCTTCAACTCAATGAGATTGATAAAATTATTGCAGATCAAGCAAAAAAATGCAGAACAGGTTTATTTGCTCTTACTGTTTGAGAGCCTTGACAAAAGTGGGTAGCAGCAGGACTTGAACTCCAGCAGGTAACTCCTAAGGACCTACTTCTACCTGAGAGAGGGGATGAAAGGGTTAAAAAACCCCAAAACCCCAAAAACTAAACTATGTTTAGCTAAACTACAGATATAATTGCATCTGTGATTAAAAACTAAACTTGTGTTCCTCTGCTCTCTAATGCACTGAGCTCTGTTCACACAAAATGTGGATATTGACTACTTCAGCATGTCAGAATTATGAGTGTTTCTTCTAGAAATATTCATACCCATTCTGCTCAGTTTCAGGCAGATAAGCAGTGATTATAAATTGGTAGACCTAGATATATGTCAGTCAGCCATAAATATTAAAAAAAAAAAAAGTCAGCATAACATACTGATCTAAGAAGAAAACATTTGGAACTCTAGGTCAAAAGTGACTTCACAGTTGAAGGATGATTGGCATAATACTTCATGGTTTCTTTTTCAGAGAAGTTGCAGGTAACAGCATTGTTTCTCTTATACTGTATTAATTTATAGTCAACTGAATTCGAAGGGAAGTTGTTTTGGGGAGTTCTTAAGTTGCTAGACAGCACGAGCATGTGTGCAAATTTAGCTCCTCAAGATGGTAATCTGGAACATTTTAAGTATTTTTTTGTTGAATGCATTGACTATATTAAATCAGGTTCTATCTATACTTGCCAGATACTACATTTCAGATACCTTTCAGATTTTTTTCAGCTGCGTGTTTAATATACACATTTTTCAGGAATGTATAAGAAATGCTTCTAATTCTCAGAAGCAGTATCCTTTGTATTGTAAGGTGGCTGTTTCTAAGAATGGAACAGAGCCTTATTAATTGATGTGATTTATTAAGGTCATGCATTATAAAGTAAGCCTTATTCCAAATATTAATTTGTAAAAACTTGTTCTTTCATTCAGTTTTCTATCTATTTAAAAACCCCAAAACATTATTTAAAACTCTAATTACAAAATAGAAGAGGCCATTTAGTACTTCATGGATTTGAAAACTGAGGATATCTAGTATAATTTGATCAGAAATATGAAATAGACATCTTTTGTAAAGTTAGCATGACTGCTGGTGTAATTTGCGGAAGACAAAATGTTAAAATAGCATTTATGTTTACTCAGGTCTTTTAAATTAAGGGGTTACTTTTTCTTATTCTTGCTTGGTAAAGCAGCCAGCCACTCTAAGTACCTGATACATAATACATATGTATTTTTCCGTATGTACGTATTTTGGAACATGCAGGCTTAAAAGAGAATTCTGAAATCAAATATAAGCTAAAAAAAGTAATATTGCTGTAATATGTCTGATTACAGGTATCTATAGAGAGCTTTGTCTGGAATCTGTGAAGAACAAGTATGAATGTGAAATTCAAGCCTCTCGACAGCACTGTGAGGTTGTGCCAGCTATTTTACATTGATAGCTAATCTCATCTAACTTTATCTCATTCCAACTTTTTTTGTGTGTAATGCTTTCCAAGTTCAGTGCATGTTTTTATTACTGCTGTTATTTGCTATTTGAAGGCAATTGCCTTGTGATATATAAGTCCACATAAGAGGTTATTCAAAGCATATAAAAATGAGCTTTATATTAGTTTGGCTTTGCATATAAATATAGCTAAGGTTTCTTATTTTTCATTAACAGGTTCTTATAATAGATTCCCACATGATTTTTTTTTAACCTTTGTTATAAAAAGATTACCAAGAGCAGTAACTAAAATATCTGACATAATTTTAGCAAAAAGCACCTTACATTTTAACAACAACAACAACAATAATAATAATAATGTCTTTTAAGATGCCTTGGACAGCTAGTGCTAGAGTTGTCATTACAGAAGCAGTTACAGGAAAAATATATTTCCTTGAACATTCCTGTTTAAGCATCTAAATACTGGATACTGTAGTATAAGTACTCGATTACGTGTCCAAAGCTGTAACATAGCTGCTTAGATCCTGAGGTTTGCATTACAGTACTCCCCAGCCCCCTGTTACAGTTGCTTAAAAGGTGTTTTCTTCTGAGTGGTTCACCATACTCCTGAAGCCTGTGGCTCCTCCTATACCAATCAAGCAAGAATGTGCATGTGTACTTTTTAAAAGAAAATCGATTTTCTTGATGCCTTGGGGAAGAACAAGGTATAATGAAGGGACTACTCATTACTGACTGTCTTTGCTCCTGTGAATACTAAGATTGGACAGAATCTTTTAAGACTGACAGGGTTTCTCATCCGTGATTGAATGATTTGCTTTGGCTATATATTACTCCTATTTAAGGTGCTCCTTGTCCCTTGTTTTGCTATTACGTTTCTATTGTGAAATCTTCAGAATTCAAATATTCATATAAGGGTCTCTGGGGGTAAAAGCTCTTTAAAGTCAGCAGTGCTGCTTGTAGAGTCACTGTTCCACTGGAATATAAGAGTTCAGCAAGAATGCCTCTGATGCCTGTAGCACCTTTTTACATCTTATTTGTCACCAAGTGCTTAAAGCAAAACAGTTGTCTAAACACAAAGACTGTTTTATTTTTAAATGGAATTTTAAAATGGTCTCAGAACAGATAACACTCATTTGGTGTTTCAGGTATATGTGAGAGTCTTCTGCCTTTTCAATTCCACTAGGATTTTTTTATTTATAATTGGGGTTTGAAAAATATATGAAAGGAAGTCTTTGGAATTTAAGCACTTTGTAACTTGAAGGGAATGGTGAACATGACAGCCATTTAGTAGAACAGAGTTCTTTGTTTTCATCTATTCCTCAACTGTTTTGCTTCACTCCAGCATACTAGCTTGAACATTGGTAAAGGTAAGTTTCTGGTAAAGTATTCTGTGCTATGGGCAGGAGCAGTTGAGGTGCAGACATCTGCTAACTTGGCTCTACGGCTGCAACTTCTGGCAGAGACATGGCAGCACATAGCTAGATGCAGTGAGTTGTGCTGCTTGAGCTGTTTTTTCAGGAAGTCCAAGCTCTTTTTGATTGCCAGAGTTAAAGATGTTGCTCAGTGAAAATGAACTTTGAAATGTAGCAATCAGTTGTATTTTCTACTTGTGTTTTAGGAAATGTGCAAGCTTATGAAAGAACAGTAAATTTATTTCCTTGAGGCTTGGGTCTCAGCTTAATTCCGTGTTACTGGTTTAGAGAGTTCAGTGTTTTTCTGGCTTTGCTATCCGAAAGGAAAATACTGTATTTATGTCAAAATACAAACAGTTATGCTAGAGGTCTAGCTGTATGCTTTTATATACTTGTTATTCTTGGCACTGATATTTGATAACTATATTTACACTTATGCCAAGTGAGCATGCTGTCTTTAAGGAGTCAGGATCTCATGCTAAGAAAGTGGATAGAGGGAAATGTCACATGCTTTATGGCTTCTGAAGCATTTTCACTTAAAGCTACTCTTACCTTCATTCCACTGAGGCTTTAAATTGTTATATATATATTTAGATGGTAGAACTTAGTCATATAAAAATGTGTAATTCCGTGCGTTTTCAGAGTGAAAAGCTTCTGTTATATGATACTGTACAAAGTGAACTAGAAGAGAAGATTAGAAGACTTGAAGAAGACCGCCATAGCATTGACATCACCTCAGGTGAATGGAAATTCAAAGTTGTTGGGGGTTTTCTGTTTGTTTGGTGTTGCTTTGTTTTGTTTTTAAATCTTCTGGTACCTACTGATTAGTTGACTGCACAAATAATATGTCTGGTGAGTTTCAGGTTATCTAGTAGAATGCTATTCAGTTGTAAACTTTGGGTGGGGGGTTGAGTTTAAGCTTAAAGCAAACTTTGGTCTAGTAATGTCAGCATCGCATGTGTATTTTGAGAGTATTAATCTATATCTATATAATCATGTAACACCTTCATTCTGTTCAGAAAGAGCATCTCACCAAAAAATTTTTAATTTTTGGACAATGTTTTCTGCTGAAAAAGGGCTAAACATGTAAATATTGCTGATTTATAGCATGTTCTTATTGCGTCTTTTCAGAATTATGGAATGATGAGCTACAGTCCAGGAAGAAAAGGAAGGACCCATTCAGTCCAGATAAGAAGAAACCTGTTGTTGTATCAGATATCCTTGTACTGAAATCATTGTTCTTTCTAGTAGTGTTTTATAGCTAGTCTTATTACCTATGTCATTAATAGCAAGTTGAAGTGCTAATGCATTCTCAAAATTGATTTTTGCATGGCAGATATTACTCTAACTCAGAGAAACCATGTTGACACATTCCATTATGAAAATTGAAATTAATATTCTCATATTTAACTACTAGTTTCATAGACTATTTCTAAAAGTTGATTTTCCTAACTGTTCAAAAAATTGAGCTACAAGCCAAAGCAGAAAAAAGTTAGGCATTATGTTTGCAAGTATTACTTGAGTTCTGTAACTTCTCCTGCATAGTTTTGCTTCTCATACTGCGACATCTTTACCTCTATTTATTACTTCTTAACAATTCCATAGACTTTAGAACCCTCTCTGATTAAAAGTTTAGAGTTCCAAGAATTGAGGGGGGGGGGGGGCATAAGTTTGGAGTTCCTGTAGGGTGCATATAGTATTTAAGAATTTTGTATTCATTACTTTTTCATAGCTGTTGACAAGCATGCAGTGCAGCTGAAACTTTTTAAGTGTAACAGCTAAGAGATGGTATCTTCTTTCTCCAGAGAAAGGACATGCCTTTGCAAACAGCATTCTCTCTGATCCTACCCCCAGCCTCATGTTTTCATCAGGCAGAGATATGATGGCTTAGAAGTTGCCAGAATCATGGAGACTACCTAAAAGAGACCAAATTCCACATGTTGGCATTATTTAGTTTAAAGGCCATTTTTTATTGCTAAGCTGCTGCAGAAAATCCTGCTACTTTCACAAGGTTTTGTAACATTAGGAGAAGGTGGGAGTGAAGAAGTTTCTGGAAAAAACTGTCATCATTGAGACACCTTTATTCAGTATGGTTGATTTACTGGAACATGTCCCAGATGGATGATTTGTCCTAATAATGACTGTCCTTCCATTAGGATGTGTCATAAATTTGGTTTAGTAGAGGTGTTTTTTTAACTAGTACTTAAAAGCCAAGTGGTATTAATTCAGGTACAAGTGGCTTCATTAGTTTCTTACCTCCTTCTAGCAATGTCAGTGCTAGGTTGTTTTGGTCATCTTTTTTCTTCAGGATGTGCCTATAAGTAGCATCAGCTTCTGTCAGTTAGGAGCTACCTTGCCATTTTAGAATACATTCCAAGTAGAACTTACTAATAGAGTATTAGGTCTAAAACCCCAGCAATTTCAGGTAATTCATGAGGCTGAAAATCCTTTCAGCTGTGAAATAAATGAATTTGCTCTTTTTGTTTATGATTTTAAAATAGTTGTGAACCTGTCAGTTTGTACAGATCTGTATAAAGCAAATACCTAGAAATTTTACGTGGCTTTTGATTTGTAATTCTTTGCTATGTAGAGGAAAACCAAATTTGAAAATGGCTAAAGATTCTTAAAATTTCAAATGGAATGTAAGTTAAAGCTTTCATATCCTATTTTAGGAGATTTAACTTTTAAGTGTTCATAGCACCTTTTTCTAACCTTGTTTATCAGAGACAAAATGGGGAGAAACAAACTAAAAACTCAAGACTGTTGGAATAGTAGTGCTATATGGAGTTTTGTTTTGAAGTTCACATATTGTTCTAATACAGTATTTTTACAGTTGATAGTTCCAGGAAGGGGCTTTGCCTTTCTACTTGATGTTTTCAGGATATTTGATATTCAGAGATATACTGTCTACACTTTTCTCTCAAAGAAATATGATGCATAATACTGTGAAAATAATGATTTTATTAAAGCGGATACTAGTATACATGCTGATTTGCAGTGATATATTGATTTTGCAGTGACTTTTAACTGTAATTTGTTGTATTGCAAATAGAATGATTTTTGGAACTGTTAGGGGTGGAATGACTAGTTCACAATTGTTTATCTTGTCATCACGTTGAACTCCAGTAGTCTGAATTTCTACATTAGAATTTTTTTATTATTGCTGTTTAAAAGAGTTTGAGTTTTCCCTAACTTTTCCACGTCCCTATATAGTTTATATGTTGCAAGACCTTGATATACTTGAAGACTGGACAACAATAAGGAAGGTAAGATGAAAGGATGAATGCTAGTGGCTGTGGGTTTTGTTTGGATTCTTGTCCTTTTGCCTCTTAAAAATATGTAAATGTGTTTCTTACATGATCAAAACTCTAAATAGAATTTTATTTCTTCAGTAGTCAGCTAATCATTCTGGTTCAAGCTGTGTTATTGTTACTTTTTCTGATTCTACCCAAATTATGCAGAGGAATCCAATGAAGTGGTGGAAGAGGTTATCTCTAAAATGGGTAGTTTGTAATTTTCCATTATAAAGTGAGCCTAAAGCCTGTGTCAGGAGGATCTACTTTCTCATAGTCTAGCATAATTGGGTAGAAACTAGGATAGTTCAGTAGGATTTTGTTTTAAATTAAGATTTAAAAAATATGTATAATCGGTATGTTTTCCCATGGTAAATAGTTTATTTTGTGATTATTACTATGCTTCGACCTTTCCTTATAGCTTTTTTTTAATATAAAGTGAAACGCTATGTTTTTCCCAGATTATAAGAGTATCAGGGTTTACAGGAAGAGAAATTAGTTTGACAAATTGATGTATTTGAAAAAATAAATCCATCTTTTAAGCCCAGATTACTTTTTTCAGATCTTTGTCATATCGTTAACTTGCTGTAATGAACTGCTATCCTTGCCTTGCACCTGCACTCAGAAAATTTCCCCTCATACCCTAGTGCTTCCCAGCTTATATAAGAAACTACTTATGTGAATTCAAAAACTTGATGGAAAATGGCTTTGAGTTAGTTTCCATCCTGCTTTATACTTGTAATATATTCTTGTTTATACTTTCCTAAACAAGAAGTAAAATGTGATGCCTGTGTGAAAACTTCTCTGACTTTTCCTACAGTATCAGGGGAATAGACACAAAAGAGCTTTCCTTCAGTTTCCTTCCTGTAGTGTGACATGATTTTAAACAGTAGCAACAAACCCAGAATCTACTGGGGATTTTGCCTTTTCTGGAAATAACTTCTAAAAAAGACCAAAAAAACAACCAACCCCAAAAAACTCTTAGAGTTTTTTTTAAAACCTGCTTTTATACTACATGCGATCTAGAGTTCTCATGAGAGAAAATTTATGTATTTATGATTATCAAGTATAAATCAAAAGAGTAGGGTGTTCATATAGCATTTTGTTTTTCAGAATGACTTCATGTAATTTTGTATTTTCTTGACAGAATTACATAACAGCAATTTTGAGGATTTAATTTAGAAAAATCTCCTGAGTTACTTGAAATCAAAACTTAGTAAGAAGATGATTTTTTTTTTTTCACCCTCAACATGCTGTTTTATTTAGTTGCTGAGTCACCACTGAACACACTTTTATTTTAGATTTGTTCTGATTGTGGTTTTTGTATGTAAAAGCAAGTATCCTGAGCTACACTGCACATAACTTCACAGTTAAAGCTGGCAGTTAAGAAAAAAAGGACCGGGCTTGCTAACTAACTTAATATTCTTTTGTGTTTCAAGGCAATGGCTACATTGGGGCCACACAGAGTAAAGCCAGAACGTAAGTAAACATTGTCTGGTTTCACAAGAGAGAACTTGCTGTGTGCAACAATGCAAACTCATCTAGGTAGATCATATTTATTTTAGCCCTGGTATAGTGATGGAGGACAGGATGGGATAGCTGGAAGATGTGGCTTTTATCTTTCCCTTTTCTCAGGTGCTGATACTTGTAGCTCGATTGCTGATGATTGTGTTGACACTTGAATTCTAGAAAATTATCAGTTAAAATTTAGACTTCTAAAAGTGGGTTAGACAATATTTGCAAGCTATGCCAGTGTTGACACAAGATGAAGCAGGAAACTGAGGGCATCTGGGCCTCAGGAGTGCATTCTAAAGGATGCCCACATTCACTGCAAGCTACAGCACTGAAAAAGTAGTCTATGGGAAAGGAGTGGTAACTGGTACTTGGCACTGAGGTAAGAAGCACATTAATGCTAGGTAAAATCAAATACTTGGAAGTGGCGAGTAAGGAGGAAAGGGAGGGGAGGCAAGCAGGTGGTATATTTCTTTAGTGATGTGTTATGACTTGCATGTTGTGGTAATATGCTGATGAAGAGGTTTCAGGTTCTTCCATTTGAAGTCTTCCCTATATTGCATTACTTGATTTGTGAAAATTCCTATCACAGATATGAAGGTGATGGGGAAGATAGCTTCTGTCTGAAAATGGAAACATAACTTTTAATTTTTCTGACTGGATATAAAAAGGTATCTTAATTCCAATTTTCTTGCATTCTTGCAATTATTAAGAAAGAAACTACTTTTGATAATGGAAAAAATGTGTATTATACATAAATGACTTGATGAAAGGGTGTTTAAACATCTGACTTCTGCCAAGTCAGTATTAAACCACTTTTATTGATCATTTTAGCACCTGTCAAATTAGAAAAGCATCTACACAGTGCTAGATCTGAAGAAGGAAGACTCTATTATGACGGAGAGTGGTATGGACGTGGACAGACGATATGCATTGATAAGAAGGATGAATGTCCTACAAGGTAATGTGTACTCAGCTCTGTACATTCTTGTTAAGGAATAGATAAGATGGCATTGAAGAATAAGTCTGGTTTCAAAATACTTGCCACCTCAGTAACATTTATTAGTTCACCTTGGAAGATAGGTATTATCAAAGAAGATTGAGCACTGGACTTCTGAGAGAGGCCAGTAAAGGCAGGACTTCACTGAAGGTAATGAGATGTTTTGTCAAGTTAGGATCTCACTAACCATTTAAGCTCTTATTAATTTTTGAACAGCCTTTTGAGTAAGCTTTTTTGGGTATCTTGGGATTTTTTTGCTTTGAGAATATGATCTGTTGGCCCACCCAAAAATACTTAATCATGGAAGAATACTTTATACCATTAAAGATAAGCTTTGTTTTCAGTTGATTAATGCTCTGAAAGAGGTGGAACTTTTTTTACAGTATTTCCTTCTCTTAACAAAGGTACTACCTGGGAACAATCTGAACATTAGAGTGCAAATTTAGCTGAATGTTTAAAATATCTAAATGTATTTTCTATGTATGTAATATTTGTAAATTCTAAAAGGTGGGTATATTTAAAACAAGATTTAATTTAAATGTATATCTTACCTTTTACTGAATAGGGCAAATCAATCTACATGCACTGTTCATTAAATACGCATGCCTACTCAGGAAAATTAACTTCATATAGCAGCAGTTTACTGTAAAACTGGCTGTTTCTTTTCTTCCCTGTGTGTGGTCAAGGGGAACAGATTTTGGTTATTTTAGTGTTTGTTCAGGGCTAAAACAGGAAGGTATTTTAGTAAACTATGTATTCTTTCATAAATTTTAAAAAGTCTGACTTAGTACAGCAGAACATAGAAGTTATATTGGGCCAAAAAAAAAAATAATCTTAGTATCCAGTGTCTGACAAAATAGCCAAAAGATGATGCTTAACAGGGGAAGCATACAGTGGAACTTTCCCTGCCTTTTAAGATTTCAGCAACTTTTAAGGCTGAAGAGTTTCCTGGAGGGAATTTTGTCACACTCAGTATGTGATAGATCTTTCTTCCATTAACTGTTTTATTCTGTGGTTTTGAGCTTATTTCTGTCATCAATTCTACTTTTAAAAAAAGGTTTTTTTCCTAGGGCGTATGTGGAGGGGATTGTGTGGTAAACCTTAGTACAAATAGTGAACAAGGAGCATAAAAGCAGGGTTCATGTAAGAATGATTCAGTAAATCAGACTTTGACTTTATTTCTTACGATCTTGGTATAATGACTAACAGATGAATTTTTTTTTCTGCTTTAAATCTTGGGCTTCATCTGTTTAACTTTTATCTAAATACTTTGTATACAAAGTACTTTTTGGGTCGTATTCCAACAGATCTGTGTTTTACCACAGGTAGTCTGTTGTTGTTGTTGTTGTTCTTTCCTATGGGTGACTATTGTTCTTTAAAATAATCAAAATATTTGTACATGTGAGGGTTTTCTCATAGGAGAAGAAAATAGATGGCTGAAAAATTAACCCCCTTCACTAAAGACAAATGCAGTTACCAAAGAATTCTGTTAAAACTATCCAGTGAAGCCAGTATATTTTGGGGAAAGCATTTACAAATAACGTATATTTTCATTTACTGTATGGAAATGTTTTGAGGTTATTTATTAGCTCATAAGGTTTCTAAATTCTTCTTGTTTTTCTTCCCCTGACCCTTCTTCCCTCATTTCCTATAGTGCCATAATTACAACAATTAACCACGATGAAGTTTGGTTTAAAAGACCAGATGGAAGCAAGTCCAAGCTATATATTTCTCAGCTACAGAAAGGAAAATATTCAATAAAGCATAACCACAACTGACAGTAGCTAGCCAGATATGAAACAAGTGGTATTGCCATGCTTGACGTGCCATGGGCTGAAAGTTGTATTTAACAGTGTTTTGTATTCCTTATAAATTTACAGCAGTATCTGATGTGTATTTGTAGTGCTGTATGTAAACTTCATATGGATCACCTTCAGAAACCTGAGGATGCAAAATCATTTTGATAAACATTTTACATCTAAATTGGGTTCAGTGCCTAAGATATGAAGTATGGTCTTCAAGAATAATTGCTCAGAAATTCTCATATTTGTCAATATGAGGAAAAAAAAAAAATTCCATTGGTGACCAGTTGGTATGATAAAAATGATAAACATAATTACCAGCAACTCACTTCATTTTCAGTGAACATGTCATGCTTCTCTTGTGGATGTAAATTTAGCCTGTTCAGCTGTTGCTTTTGAATAGATTGTAACATGCATAAGCATTATTTTATTCAAAGTGGACCGTTTTATTAAAATTATTGTCCTTGACAGCTCTGCTATTACTGACTGTGTTATATTTTGTAAGGTTTACTATATAGCTTGTAATGAGATAAAACCAGTATTTTGAGCTACATTTTTTGAGGAGCACTTTTCTAGTTTAGGACCCTATTCTATAAAAAACAAATCGTTGGTGATTTTTTTTTTTTTTTTTTTTTTTCAAAAGGAAAATATTTCCCCAGAAATCATATATCTGGGAAAATTTACACTGACTTTTTCACCAAACACTATTTTCCAGATTTCTGTACCCTACTTCATCTTATTGTATACCAGAATTATTCCATGCAGCTTAGAAAGCTGAATTTCTCTTAAGTCTTACTGTTTAAGCCACGGAGAAAAGTCCTAATTCCTTGATGTTACTGTGATGTGCTTGGAGCATCTAGAATGATAGATGGGATTGCTGAAGAATTATTAATGCGTTGGTTATGTGCACTTTAATCTCCACTTATGATTCTTCTTGGAGAAAGAAAGCATCCATTTGCTTTAAATGATCACAGCAAATAAGTATTTTTATTGTAACATATAAATGTTTTATTCCTTTATTAATTGTCTCTTCTAGTGCAGAGTGGTAACTACTTTCCAAATGCCAAGTCAGTTTCTGCTGAGTGATGATTTTCTACAATTGTATGACATTATTAATCAAATGTACATAAAGTATCAATTGACATGTTGGCTTTTAACAATATGAACTGTATGTATACAGTTGTTTGATAAACTTTTTGTAATAAAATATTCGTATTTTTTAACAGTGTATAAATAAATGATCTGTGGTAGTGGACATCTTTTATGTTTTGCTCTGGTTTTCTTGTCTTGCTGGACTTGCTGTTATACCAAATGTTGAAGGGAAATCTGTTTACATTTTCAGAAGGCCTGAATCTTTTTAAAGACCTTTGACTTTCACTTTCTTTTGAATTTGGAGAGTTTGTATGTATAGATTTTGTTTGGTTTTGCAATTTTTTTTCTTCCAATATTTTAAGGAAGCACTGTTTTAGAAATCAAATGTAAGCACTGTTAAGAACCTCTCAGCTATTGATGTGCTTGAAATCATTTGTATTTAGGGTGTGCTGGGCACCTTAAACTGTTTCCATGGTTCACACCTTTACTCTTTCTCTGTATTCTGTACCTTTTGATTTCTAAAGCTGTTTCTAATCTGATCTTCTTGGGTGCAGAACTTTGCTTTGTACAGCCCTGCAGTTTGGACTGACACTTGGTGAGTGTGGCTTCTTCATTCAGAATATACATCATTCATACCAACATGACAGGTAATAAGCCTAGCAGTATGGGTTAGTGAGCAAAGAACTGGGATCTACTCGTTCCATTACTAGAAGTCCAAGAAACTGAGCTATGGCTTTCCTTTTTACATGTAATCACTTCTGTGTATGTGATTGGAAAGGTATGATGTTGTCTTTTTAATAATTGGTTAATTGTTTCATGTCTAGACAGTCATGTTTGGTACATGCTATATATATTTTTAGTATTTGAACAGTTAATGGTTTGCTTGCTCCATCATAAAATGTAAGAGGTGTCTTAAACAGATTTTAGTCCTTTGAAGTACAGATGTTGTTAGCCTGTTGTCCATCTGTTTTATCTTTTACACAGATACAGTAAAGCTTTTCAAACCTTGGTAGCATTGTTTTAACCTACAAATAGGATTAAGATCTGTAAAGTGCTGAAAGGAAAAAGATGTTGGGCATACCACTTATTCCTTGAGATGCAGTATGTGAAAAGTAAAGAGTAGCAGACATTGAGTGACAAAAATAACTTTCTGTACATGCATAGAAAATACTTCTATGTGAATAGTTACAGATGCAGTTTGGTTTATGCCAATCACACAGAGCAAGCTGATCTGCTCATCTTCCCCATAATGAGGTATCTCCTATATTTAGTTGAAATGCAGTTGATTTAACCTAACAACACTTAATCAGTCTCATGTGGAATGTAGCTTGGGTATCTTGCAACAAGCAGCTCTTAAATGTTCCAAATACACTTGGATTTTTGGCACTTTGTCATACTGTGTTTGTTTTAAAACTATAGAAATTGGCTATTTATAGTCCCTGAAACATCTTGGTTTATATTTACAAGCCAAGACCTGTGTAACTAGCTCACCACTCCCATCAAGTGGCAAGTGAAGATCTTCACTCATTTCAAAAACCTACACTGGCTTTTACCAACAGATTCCATTTGTTCTGGGTTGGGGATTTTGCATGTTTTTGTTTTTTCTTTGAATTTTAAAGGAAAAAAAAGTAGGTTTTGGAGTTTGCCAGAAGAGTGAAGTGCTAATATTCCTCCCAGTCTCCTGGAGAAATTTGTCAATTTCTCCCATTACACGCAGTAATAACTGTGGGAAGAGCTGTTCCTTTTTGCCTTTTTTTGATGACAATGGGAAGAGGTAGGGAGAAAACATGTTCAATAGACATTGCATTTAAATAGCTGAAGTCTTCTGTGCTTTTATCCATGAGGTTTGTTGAAGCCTTTCAGTGTTCTTCATGGTAGCTAAATGGGACATGCTTCTGTTTCTGTGTATGAAAGCCCTGTCCAAACACCCTTTTACAAGTGGGCAAGTCAGCCCTGTTTGAAGGGCACTTCATTGTTCCTAAGGAAGTTTTTTACAAGGACTTTCTCAGGGGCATGGTTACCATTTGAATTCAGAGCAAGTAGCCACTGTTTTATCTTGGGTACCTAAGATACCTCAGAAGTCTGACAGGCAGGATGCTCTGGGTGATGTGTACTTCCAGGTAGCACAGTAAATGCCTGGTGTCTGGAAATACTTCAGTGTTTCTGCAGCATATGTGTAGGTCAGCTGCACAGTACATCTGCAGTAAATCAGCATGGGATTTGCAGTCTATGATTTAATCAAAAGCACAGCATGTATTCAGTAAGCCTAATATTTCCTGGAAATGCCAGCCTAACTGTACTTGCATGGCATTGTGTGTGCTTTTATTTCTCTGTATGGAAAATCTGGTCTTGATGGAACAGATGTGACTTCTGACATTTAAGCCTCACTTCTGTTTTTTCTGGAACTGCCAGACTAGAAAGCTGAGAAGTGATGTGCTGAACTGAGTCCTGTTTCACTCTGCTGGCTCCTGTAGACCTCATGTCTAGAAACAGAACTTTCCTAGACGTTGTGTGGGGAGTTTGAATGCTGAAACTGAGCTGAGAGATTTGCTAGTGGACAGGGGACCCAAAGTTAGGTGCAGTGCTGAATGCAATGTTGAAGAAATTCCAGCTTCAGAATAAAGATTGGAGGGGTAAGTGGAATAAATGAAGTGATGAAGTGTATGTCAAACACCAGCATTTAAAAAAAATGAGCAACTTAGCTCTAGTTAAACCTGAGCATTGACAGAGGCAACTTCTGATAGGAAAAAACACTGCATGATTTTGTAAGTATTGTTTTACATGGCAAGGGGTTAAAATAAGGCTTTGTAGGCAAACTTTGTATTTGACATTTCCAAGCTTTAAAAGTGTCAGTATTACTCCTCTAGTATGGTTTGTGTGTATGAAAGGATATAAATCTATAGGACTCAGGTGACTTAGTAAGACAGTAATCTCCAAATTCTTCTAAACCAGTGCTTTCAGATGTTTTCAATGCAGACATGACTTATTGCAAGAGCTGACTTGCTAGATTTTATTTTTTTTTTTTAAGATCTGGGTTATATTTTAAAATTATTTAATTGAATAGTAGGAAGATACAGAAAGCATGCAGTGTTTAAGAGGTGGTTAGCAGCAGTGGAACTTGGTTGGTTTTATTTTTTTGGGGGGGGTGGTGTGGTTTGTTGTTTTTTTTTTTTTTAGCATGTCAGTTTAATAGGAAAACCTTCAGACATCACTGCTGTCTCCATGAACAGAAGCAAGCTGGAATAGGGCAACACAAATGAAAATAAGCTGCATTATTTCTTTGAACAGGGCAACATTAGTGGATCCTCCTTTTCCTATAAGCAAAATAAATCTGAATCGATTGGCATGAATGGGAATATAAAATATGCCTTCTCTCCATAGACATGGGGTGTGTGGTGGGGGTACCCTTTCTCCTGTGCTCTGGAGACCCATGTTGCTGAAAGCCTGCAGGTGGCAGTAAACTTATGCTAAAGTTACTTAACAGTAGTTAACAGAATTTTCTGTCTAGATCGTGTTAGGCTTTTTTACTCGGTTTCTTTTAGTTGTAGCAATACTACAACTGGTTTTAATCCTAATGCATACTAATTAAGGGATATTTGGAAAGAACAGATAGTACCCGGAGTTCTAAAGAAGGATTATCTTTTGCTACTGTATCGTGAAAGAAAATTGCTATGTAAAGGCTTAGGAAGGAATAGAAATGGATTAGATGCTTTCTAGTTGCTATAGAAACAAAATATGTAATTAAGCGAAATGAAATATATTAGGACTCTTATACTGATGAACGTACTTAGGAAAGGTTGGACAATGAATGAGTGTTTTATATTGCAACTCCAAAATGAGAAATAAACAGAGGGTTCAGGTTTATTTTTCTAATGCAGTTTTCACCTACTGTGTTTTTTGTGCTTGGTTAACTGAAACCAAAAATGTTTTGTTTCCTATGGTGAATCTATAAAAAGAAACTTCAGTAATAATAAGCAATAAGTAATGCGGTGAGAATTTGCATCAATACTGTTGCAAATTAATCACATTAATATTACGTGATACTAATAATACGACGTAATGAACACACAAATCTTAAGTACATGATTTTTTTTGGAAAAAACATGAGTATGAACTGTTTAATTACACTTGCTTTAAAATAAGTTTTAACAGATCACTTC